GAAGTCTTATGCCAGGTTCACGAGTCCGGTGACATGATTTCATTCTGTTATTACGACCCAGGTCAAACATGCAAGAAGCTTATCGAGCAATTAGAAAGCGAGTTCGGCTTGCAGATGTATTCAGCAAATTAGTATGAATTTTTCATCTTTAAAGACGGCGATCTGCTGAGAAATGGGCCTCACGGTTGTTCTGCCTTGAACTTGAAGAAAATGGAAAATCTTTGCTACGAGGTGCGCTTTTGAAATCAGAAATTCATAAGAATACAATAATACTTTTTCGATTCTAATGCAATCAATTTTAATCCAGGGAAAAACCTCAATGGAAGGAAGTGTAGTCAATTTTAATTGGGCAAATCTGACTGAACAACAAATAGTGAAGAAAAAATTACTATTTTTGCCATCGTAAATATTTAATATCCAAAACAAACAAAATAGGTTTTTGTAGCAACGAAGGTTTTCTTTTAAGAAATTCACGAGGTTTTACCTTGCGCGTTCTTCTGTAGATATATAGACGTCTCAGGAAAGCAGGCATCAAAGTTGAAGCAATCAATTCCGAAGGTTCCGAGAGTCAGTACGAGTTAACTTTGGAGCCAAAATTCGGAGTCGCTACCGCAGATCATGCATGTGTATTCAAAGACTGTGTGAAATCAACGGCGCTTGATAGAGGCTATATCGCTACAATCATTTGTAGTCCAGTTGACAAAACAAATAATGGCTTCCACCTAAACTTCTCAATTTGGAAATATGGTAAGAATTTGTTCACGGATGAAAACGACCCGGAGGGTCTGTCAACTTTGGGCAAACATTGGCTCGCTGGCTTGATGAAGCACGCAAAAGCAGTGGGTGCCATTATTTGCCCGCTTAATATTAGCTTCACGCGACTTCATAACATGAATTTAAACAACATTTGTTACGGAAAAGGCAAAAGGAAAACGATGCTTCGTGTGACCGAGAACCCCAACTCGGATACCTATTTAGTTCCGAAGTCCGGGTGCCTCAGCGAATCCTTATTTGGTGATTTTTTTTTCTAAATGATATCTGCTGAGTCTTTTCAAATGCGATTTGTAAAAAAAGTAAAAACTCAAAAGAAAATTGGAAAAGATAGTTGCTTTTTATTTTTTTGAAAGGTTTTTTTTTTTCTTGAAACACTTTTGATGTGAATCGTTTTTTCAAGTTCGTTTCCGTTTAGTCTTCTCCGACCATATCGATTGAATATGTTTTAGCATTGAGGTCTGCAGCAACTGTCCAAAATTGAAAACAAGCCTGGACAGAAAAAATTGTTGTCGTGATTGATTATCTTGAAAAGTGACGCGATGGACAGAAAAAGAGTCGCGATAGTTGGAAAGCATAAAGCCCGACATTCTTTTCTCGCTATAAGTCGCAGTCCTTCAAAAGGTCAAGTTGCTCAAAAATTTATGGCAAAAAGTCTCAGTAAAGTTATCAAGTAAATCACCTAATTTCAAGAGTAGATGCCACAAGAAGAAAGTTTCAACTTTTAAAAGGAAGAACGGAATTAAACAAAACAACATTTTTTTCATTTGCAAGTTTTTTTGATTCAAAAAAAAACATAGACCCATCAAAGGCTATTGGGCTTGTCTCAAACTTGTCAGTTTGAATGATTTTCCTCAATTCAGAAAAGAAACCGGAGTTTTTTAATGGTGAAGTTATTCAGCCTAACTTGGTCAAGTTGTGGTAGACATGAAGATACAGCATCTGATTTCGGCTTAGAAACTGCACCGGTCGCAAAAGTCGCAAGCAAATTACCCTCCAGTGTCAAAAATTGCCGATTTGACCCCCAGCCAACCCAAAGGGTCCCCCTTTGAACTATTTTGAATATCCATTTTTGACTGACGGAACGTAAATTTTGTCCAAGGGCGTGTTCGGCGTTAATATATGGTAAGTTTAAGGGCGGAGGGCGCCCGAAAAAAACGGGATTTTTTGGTTAAAATTTCTCAAAAAGTGCCTAATTTTTTTGCAAAATTTGTCTGCGGCGCCAAAATTTTGGCCAAAACAGTGACTTTTATGGGAGGAGCTCGGGAATTCGGTCGACCTAAAATAAAAACCGACAAAATTTCGACAATTTTTTGAAAACCCGCCCCCTACCCTCGAGAAACTACTAGATCCGCCCCCGGTTGTGTTAGTTTCGAAAAAAGTCAAAAAAAGTCACAACATCAGCCTAGCAAAAAGCTCATTGTTGAATGAGTATTGTATAAAAAGCCGATATTTTAAGTATACATATAAGATTTCAGACCCCTAATAATTTGGTAAATAGCACTTTTTCATGTTTTTTTTAGATTTCTTAACATTGGTTTCACAGCTTGACTTCTTATGAATCATTCGCAAGTTTTTTGGTATCTCATTCGATCAGTTACAAAATTATGTTGGACCATTATTTTCGACCAATCCAAGTCATTGAAGCGAGCTCTAGTGCTAGGTTGATGCGTTGAAACTACAAAAAACCTAACTAGTTTTGAATTGTCAAATAAACTGGGAAGTAAATGTTTGCTCATGAGAAAAGAGTTTAAAAGCTGCTGTTGTCTTCTCTTAAAAAACAACTTGATTATTAACATGAGTTCTCCTTATGAGTGTTTCTCATAACACAATTTTGATTGCTGAAAAATAATGATCTATTCATTTAAATGTTAATTTAAAAATAAAACGATGAAAAAAACAGTAAAACAAAAAAAACGATGAAAATCAATAAAACAATAGTTTAATAAAAAACAATGAAACAATGAAAGAAAAAACCAATAAAACGATGAAGTTTAATGGAACAAATTAATAAAACGGTCAAAAAACATTGAACAAATTTTTTCTAGGGTGATAAATTCTTATGTATAAAAAAGGGAAAGCAGCCGCTTATACAGAAGGTTTTTCCAGTTATTTCCATTTAATGAAACTAAAAGTTATAGATTGGGAGGACAGTTTTCGAGATAACCAAAAAAAATCCGGCCACTGATTTTTCGAAGGCTGTAGATTTTTTGAAGGCTTCGAGAAAAAGACTAGTAGAGCAGGCACTCCGGTAAAAAGCACAAAAGAAAAGCACACAGGAATTTAAACACTCAATAGAGAAGGCCTTTCTCCAATTGATACTCTTTTTTTTGTTTTGAAAATTGATACAATGTTTTGAAATGATTTGAAATCAATTTCTCCAATTGATACTCCTTTTTTTGTTTTGAACATTGATACAATGTTTTGAAATGATGTTTTGAAATGATGAATTGATGTTTTGAAACTGAAACTTTTCCATAAAATTTTAAAATTTTCCAAAGCGTCTCAAACAGAATAATAAAAAACTCAATCTCCTACACCTACATCTTCGTATATCTTTTTTTTCTCTTACAGGCGTGCTAAGGAAACATGCCAGGCAAGGCATTTGAATTTCAATTAAGCAAGGAGTAAAACCTACGAAACAAATCCCAAAACCTTTGAGCAGACACCAGATGAGCCGACTAAAAATGGTTTTATATAAAGCTTCCAAATCTTTTAAGACCTCCTGAAACTACAATGAACAACACTTGCAACTATCTTGATACCCGCTTTCCGCACAATAAAAATTTGTGATGTGGGAACTGAGCCGGCAAAACGCCACAGATGAACGAAAGTCCGACAAATTATTTTTTCAGGAAAAAAATCAATTGCATACATTCTGAAAAAAAAAACAAAGTAGGGCTGAGATTTGAATCTCGGACCTCAGGGTGCAAAGGCGACAGCGTTGCCTCTACGCCTATTGCGATAAAAATTGAAAAATCTAAGATAAAATACGTTGAAAAGGTGTAAAACAAAACTTGGTTACGGAAAAAAATCTATGATAACGAGTTAATTGAACTGCCGCTGATTGTTTAGTGCTTTGATTTGCTTGAACGCGCGTTTTACTGTGTTGTAGACGATGCATCCTTTTAAAGTGCATTATAAAAGATTTGATTCGAAATTCTTAGGGAGATCTTTTAATGTAGAAGTACAGGCACGGGGCATAGAAGTTGTAACTTTAAGTTTTCAAGCAACAAGATGAACAATTTTTTTGTTCATTTTTAGGCGCTTTATTTTCTATTAGAGTTTCACGGCTAATTTTTGACGTATGATGGGTGAAGTTTTTAGAATGTATTCGGAAAAAAAACCGTACAAACATCTAACTAAGAGCTCAAACTAATTTTTATCCCTTTTTTATGTGAGAAGATATTTTTTGAGGGCCTAGCTCAGATCCTTAGCTTTCTAAGGAACATTTTTAAGTCCAAAATTTCAAATAGCTGTTCACGGTGACTTTTTGGCTGTAAAAAAGCTTAAGATCTCTATTTTGTGGCCAAATGACAAACGATACCTTGGAAGCAAATTTATACGGTTTCATATCCGACTTCGTTTTAAGAGAAAAAAAAAACGTTTCATTCATCGTATGTCAAAGTTTTAGCCGTAAATTCATTGTACTTGAATAGAAAACGGCAGGCAACGGGAAAATGTTTTCGTTTATCCCGCAAAAACAGTTAGAAAAAATTGTTTTCGGCAGAAAACAAAATCTTGCAAACCTTTTTAAAAGAATTTTGGAAGCCACAAGAATTTTGCAAGATAGTGAAAACACGAAGAAATACTTAGAAAACCTTACAAAGTTGGTTTTTCCATGCAAAATTTCTTGCAAGAACTTTGCAAGTAAGAAGTCCAAAACCGCTGGGGTTATCGGCGATGAGTGCCGACGCAAACATTTCAAATTTTTTTCATTTCGTTGCGAATCAAGTCGCACCACGCGTAGAGTATAGCCACCGATTTATACTCAAATGAGTTTCCATATCAAGATTTTTTTGACCCCACCACCATTCTAGAACCGCCACTGTTTATACCCACATGGCATAATCAATTGAATATTGAAACTAACAAAAACAACAATGGGAGAATAGATCCGAAAAACAAAAATGGAGCTCAACTTGAAAGTCTGCGCTTGTTTCTGGTCTAAAACGTTTGGCATTGTTTTTTTTAATAGCACGTGTGTTTTATATACATTTTAAAGCATGTGTGGTATGTCTATTTCTTCATGTGCAACACTGAAACGATGAGCACGTGGTGTAATGCACAGATGGTTTTTGCATTGGCTACAAAATAATTGATTCGTTGTGCCTGAGAAACATCATGAATAAATTAGAAAAGTACCAAGATTTTGACTTCATCAAGTTTACCTGGTTTGATACGAACGGAGCTGCACGGTGTAGAGTTATAACCAGACGTGCCTTGGAATGGATTTTGGAAACTGGAATTGGAATAACTGCCGTTTTTGCCAAATTTGGCGTCAATTCTACGAGTTGCAAGTTCTCTAAAATGGATGAAGGTGAGAAATCAGGATCTCCAAGTGTATTTTTAACTCCAGTTTTTGAAACTTTTCATGCATGCCCTTGGTCGGGAAACGGAAAACACAAAGTAGCTGAATTCATATGCCAGATCCATGAGCAAAAAATCGGAGACGAGTTCTGCTATTACGACACGAGACAAATATGCGTGAAGTTATTGGACCAATTACAAAGTGAGTTTGGATTGAAGTTGTATTCAAGTTTCGAGTATGAGTTTCTGGCAATGAAGGGTGGTCAGCTGTTGGGCAATGCAGGTCATTCTTGTTCTTCTGTGATCCTAAAAAACACAGAGGACTTATGCTATGAGGTGTGTTTGATCGTTCAATTTTTTCATTTTTGCGAATAATTCATCAAGCCCACCCCCTATTTTGAATTTTCAATTTCGGAAAACTTTTAGCATTATCATAAACACAGTAATACTTAGCAATGTAAACAGTCGAACTACTCTGAACAGATTTGTTCTTAATACTTTTCCTTGTAAAATTACTCATTTAGCCACTATACACATATCAAACAACTACATGGAATTAGAAAACTTGAAATCTGGGTGAAGAAGAAAAAACCAACCATCAGTAAGAAACCGTGGCTTTTTATTTCGACTTTTTAAGAAATGTGGAGGAACTTTCCACCAGTTTATTATGTCTTAGTTTTTTTTTGTTTTTGTTTTCCACGCAATCTCAGGTACCACAAATTACCATAGTATTGGGTTGAGTGATATAATAAACATAGGCCTTTCAGTGTGATTCAAACAATTTTTATAAAGTTTTGAAAAAAAATCTCAGTGTCGACAAAATTCAGATTGAAAATTTGTGATTTTTGCTCTAATTTCAAGATAATAATGTGAAAGTGCAGGCTTACAATAGCTTATTTATGCCTGACTTAAGCTGTGAAAAGTTTTACTTGAGTAAAGTTTTTTTTTCGATTTTTTAGCGTCAATTTGGAATCGAAAACATCAAAATGCAAAAAAAACTTCCAATTGGCCAATTTTACGTTGGCTGTCAAATATGCCTATTGACCGTCGAAACTTTTTTTCATTCAGATCTTTTTATCACCTCACGCAGAAAAAAAACAACCCCAATTTGAGAAAAAAAAAACGTATTTTTAAGACTATAGTTGAACATTCTCTTCTACTTGCACAGTAACTGGCTATCCTTGTGTTCATTTGCGTGTTAGTGATTTTAAAAAGTGATTTCATCTTAAAGAACAACCGGGTCTTAATAAATTGAGTTGTTATTTCGATGACCAAGTTCCGAACTGATTCTTAATTGTGACTGAATTATTTTCACAGGAAAAACAGGACACTTGGAAAACAATCTACCTTTACAATCCTTTTTTGTGCTAGCTTAATTCCCGTGACAAAGTTCAAAAATAGGCTACAGTTCTTCTAAGCTCTTCTCCACTTCTCGATTTGCAGTGTAATTTCAAATACTATTATGGCTAAATGCGTGTTTTGTTGAGACAATTATGACAAACAAATATGCTGAAGAAAAGTTGACTTGGTCACATTGCAATTTTTTTTACCTTATGACAATGCAGTAACTTTTTTCATACCATTGAAGCAAAACTTAATCCTGGTGTAGCACTTACTCACCATTAAAATTGAACTCCTGCGGCCGGTGATTTCAAAGTAGAGCTAGGCGCGACTAAGATTTTTGGGCTCTTTTCTAAATTGAAAATCAATTATTGGAATAGGGACTGCGAAACAGCGGTTCTTGGTCCGAGACTATACATGTGCGTACACTATACTAAGCTTGCTGATCTCAGCTCGGAATTAGGATTGCTTTTACGAAATACAAAACCCTCATTTATTGTTCCGTCTTTCAAAACGAAAGTAACGGAATATTTGTGCTAGGGTGGTTTTTTCTTCAGACAAATTTCGACTTCTTAACTAGTCATTTCTGACGGAAGTTTTTACGGCGTGTGAAGGATTGCTATTTTGGACGATTTGGGATAATTACGCGTAAGCGGAGATTTAATCCGTCTTAGCCATCGTTCCAAATTGGTTGAAGGAAGCTTATTTGCCATATTCGATTTTTAACTAGGCGCAAAATCCATCATTTCGTTTTTTGTATGGCATGTGGGGGGGATGATTTTTACAAAAAATCTCAAATTTGATAAAAATCGTTTTTTTTTTTAATTTTTCTAAATTTTTTTTAAATGTTATTACTGCTCCAAAGACCTTCAGAGGCAGTAGGAACAATCAGGATTTTAGCCTGATACGAGCTGTTTTATTGGAACTGACTAATACCACAGATGCCACAAATGTTTTTCATACTATGGAAAAATGCTTTTCATAAAATTTCAAAGACCAAAAAACTTGTATGAAAATAACAAAAAAAGTAAGAATTTTCTATCGGATAACTTTTTACTAAAAGCATTTATTAAGTTATTTACTATATAGTTTATCTCAAAACTTGGCTGAAAATAGCTAAAACAATTTTTTTTACTATGAAATTGAGTAATGAGCTTTTTTGTAATGAACTTTCTAAGAAATTGTATAGGCGTTTTTTCATATGAACTTTCTGTGATAGGCGTTTTTTCATATGCTCCATATATGAAATTGTGTGATGAACTTGCTATGAAATTGTGATGAAAGGCGTTTTTTCATAGGCTTCGTTGATGAAATTGTATGACAAGCACTTTCCTTGTTTGAACGTCAATCCGGGCGATATGATGAAATCCGATTTTTTTAGTAAGTGTAAGTTAGCATCCTATTATCTTTTTATTCGAAAATTTTTGAATTTTCACAACCAAACGCAACTAGAAAATTGAATCACAAATATCAATAAAATCATAAAAATGTGCCTTGAACACAACTGAAATTGTTTGCGATGAAATTTGTCTTTAAAAGTTCAACTTACTGCTAAGTTCTTTGATTGGTCATATAAACAAAAAGAAAAGTTCTTGGAAAAATTTAATCACATGAAAAAGCTGAAAACTTAAATAAAAATTTATTTAAAAGTTTTTCAGGCTTGAAAAACTTCTGAGGCCAGAAAAAACTAGAGAAAAAATTGAAAAAGTGGAAATTTAGCGCTTACAGTTTTTTGCGATAGTTTGAACCTTACTTTATAAAAAAAATTAAAATCAAATCAAATTGGAAGATCCAGTGAATTACAACAATCCAGGTTGAACAGCAGCAATCTTACCTTTCCAGTTTACCCTCAAAAAGATTCCATGGATAATTATCGATTATATTGTAATTTCATGATCTATCTCCATAAAATTTTAAAATAATCGATTATAATTGATTATTAATTGATTATAGAACTAATAAAGTGGAAATCAATTTACTCCAATAGAATCGATTATAATGGATCGTTATGTAATAAAACAGATTATAAGGTATTGCAATAAATTTTTATGAGTTAAAATGGAATAAAATAATCAAAAATTAAACGTTGCAATCGCTAAATTGTGTTTTACATTTGGTTTGGTTTTCTACTACTTTTTTTAGAACTTGTCTCCCCCTCCCTTAATTACTTATGTTAACTCCTACTGTTGTTACTTTTTTCAGGTACTACCATTTCCTCCTCGACCCTTACATTTACCCTAAAAGTAAGTGAAAAAAAAAGCACCCCGGGTGCCCCCTGTCCCCTCCCCTAAAAAAAACACAAACACAAATTTGAAAATTTTTACCGTCCTTACCGTGTGTGTGAGTCGGGTAGGGGGTACGGCTATTGTATGATAGGCGTTTTTTTATATGCCCCATATATGAAAAAGTGTAATGAATTTTCTATGAGGTTGTATGAAAGGAGTTTTTTCATAGGCTCCATTAATGAAATTGTATGACAAGCACTTTCCTTGTATGAACGTCAATCAGGGTGATATGATGAAATCCGATTTCTTTAGTACGTGTAAGTTAGCATCCTATTATCTTTTTATTCGAAAATTTTTGAATTTTCACAACCAAACGCAACTAGAAAATTGAATCACAAATATCAATAAAATCATAAAAATGTGCCTTGAACACAACTGAAATTGTTTGCGATGAATTTTTGTCTTTAAAAATTCAACTTACGGCTAAGTTCTTTGATTGGTCATATAAACAATAAGAAAACTTCTTGGAAAAATGTAATTACATGAAAAAGCTGAAAATTTGAATAATAGTTTATATGAAATTTTTCAGGCTTGAAAAAGTTCTGAGGCCGAAAAAAAACCAGAGAAAAACTTGAAAAAGTGAAAATTTAGCGCTTACAGTTTTTTGCGATAGTTTGAACCTTACTTCATAAAAAAAATTAAAATCAAATCAAATTGGAAGATCCAGTGAATTACAACAATCCAGGTTGAACAACAGCAATCTTACCTTTCCAGATTACCCTCAAAAAGATTCCATGGATAATTATCAATTATATTGGAATTTCATGATCTATCTCCAAAATTTTTTTAAAAATAATCGACTATTATGGATTATTAATTGATTATAGAACTAATAAAGTGGAAATCAATGGAATCCAATAGAATCAATTATAATGGATAGTTATGTAATAAAATAGATTATAAGGTATTGCAATAGATTTTTATGAGTTAAAATGGAAAAAAATATTCAAAAATTAAACGTTGCAATCGCTATATTGTGTTTTACTTTTGGTTTGGTTTTCTACTATTTTTTTAAAAAACTTGTCTCCCCCTCCCCTAATTACTTATATTAACTCCTACTGTTCTTACTTTTTTCAGTTACTACCATTTTTTTCTCGACCCTTACATTTACCCTAAAAATACGTAAAAAAAACAGCACCCGGGTGCCCCCTTTCCCCTCCCCCAAAAAAACGCAAACACACATTTTGAAAATTTTTAACGTCCTTACCGTGTGTGTGAGTCGGGTAGAGGGTACGGTTATTGTATGATAGGCGTTTTTTCATATGCTCCATATATGAAAATGTGTAATGAATTTTCTATGAGGTTGTATGAAAGGCGTTTTTTCATAGGCCTCATTAATGAAATTGTATGACAAGCACTTTCCTTGTATGAACGTCAATTCGGGTGATATGATGAAATCCGATTTCTTTAGTACGTGTAAGTTGGCATCTTATTATCTTTTTCTTTCGGAAAATATCTGAAGTTTCACAACCAAACGCAACTAAAAAATTGAATCACAAATATCAATATAATCACAAAAAAGTGCATGAACACAACTGAAATTGTTTGCGATGAATTTTTGTCTTTAAAAATTCAACTTACCGCTAAGTTTTTTGATTGGTCATATGAACAATAAGAAAAGATCTTGGAAAAAATTAATTACATGAAAAAGCTGAAAACTTGAATAATAGTTTATATAAAATTTTTCAGGCTTGAAAAAATTCTGAGGCCTAAAAAACTGGAGAAAAACTTGAAAAAGTGGAAATTTAGCGCTTGCAGTTTTTTTGCGATAGTTTGAACCTCACTTTATAAAAAAATTTAAAATCAAATCAAATTGGAAGATCCAGTGAATTACAACAATCCAGGTTGAACATCAGCAATCTTACCTTTCCAGATTACCCTCAAAAAGATTCCATGGATAATTATCAATTATATTGGAATTTCATGATCTATCTCCAAAATTTTTTTAAAAATAATCGACTATAATGGATTATTAATTGATTATAGAACTAATAAAGTGGAAATCAATTGAATCCAATAGAATCAATTATAATGGATAGTTATGTAATAAAATAGATTATAAGGTATTGCAATAAATTTTTATGAGTTAAAATGGAATAAAATATTCAAAAATTGAACGTTGCAATCGCTCAATTGTGTTTTACATTTGGTTTGGTTTTCTACTAATTTTTTTAAAATCTTGTCTCCCCCTCCCCCTAAATACTTATAGTAACTCCTACTATTCTTACTTTTCTCAGGTACTACCATTTCCTCCTCCACCTATTACCCCTTACATTTACCCTGAAAGTACGTGAAAAATACCACCCGGGTGCCCTCTGTCCCCTCCCCCAAAAAACGCAAACACACCTTTCAAAAACGTTTACCGTCCTTTAACGTGTGTGTGTGAGTCGGGTAGGGGGTACGGTAGGTGAGGAGGGTAGGTGCGGCTACATGGAAGGTGAGGGTAGGTGGGTTGGTTTAGGTGGGGTTGCGGGTAGGTGGGAGTATGTGGGGGGGGGGGGGGGGGGGGTTTGGGATGCTGTGCGGAAAAATATGGGAGGATGGGTGCAAAGTTTTGTTTGAGACCTGGGTTTAAAGTAGGAGGGATGTGGTTTTCAACTTATTAAGCAAAAATTAACTTAAAAACAATAAGATTAGAAATCAAGTAGGCTGGAGTAATGCAGAAAAGCTGCATGCTCGCAGAAAAGTTGGTAGAAAAAAATAGTGATTGTAATCCCTTATAATCCATTATAATCCATTCTAATGGATATTAAAATGGTTATAGTCGTTTTAGTTTCTCTAACAATAATGGATTATAATGGATTATAATGAATTGAGTGGTCCCAAAGTGTAATTGTAATCGGTTATAATGCCAACATTATAATCCATTATAACTTAAAAACTTACTTTTTGACCTGCTTAGACAGTAGCTCTAATCAAATGCTCTTGGTTTATGTAAAAGTTTTCAGAAAATTGAAGTCTTAAAAGTTGTCTTTTGACAGCGGAAATTGAGTATAATCGATTATCATCCATGGAACCTCACTGCGGGTATAACTTAAGCTTTTTCAGTTCAAAATTTTTTTTTTGAAAGGTGTTGTTTTTGGAAACTTAAAAACTTAGTTGTGACCCAAATTTGGCCCAGTTAGGCTAACTTCAGCCAAAAAATCTAGATATCATCCCAATTTTTTGTTTATCAAAATTCCTCATTTGGCTTATAATTTGTATATTGCATTTACTCTACTTCTTTAAAAACATAAAATTAAGCAAGATTATTTATTGCGTTTAGATGGTTTTAATTTACGCATTACCATCCAAATTTTCAAATATAATTACAGTGTTTGAATTGACAAGTAAACCTGCCGCCCAAACCGTTTTATTTGTAGAAACAAAACCACAACAAGGGTCGAAGTCGTGGTATTTTTATTATCAGAAATCATAAATTATGATGTATCTGCATTGGGACAACGTAGTTCCGAGTCTGCCAAATCTGAATATAAGTTCCAGTGGTCTGCACGTAAATCAGGAAACTCTGGATATACACTAATGGATTTAAAATGTCTCTAAAATGTCTGTTTTTGAGAACCTTTTTGGACGATATTTCAGTAAAATTTTTACATAGACCAAGAGCAAATGATTAGAGCTGCCCTCTACGAAACTATCAAAATCTGGTTTCCGTGACTCACCAATGTAACCCGGGTCTGAAAGTAAGAAATTACATTAGTAAGTCGTTGAAACCAAATAATGACATTTTCAGAGACAGTAGCTCAAACAAATGTTTTTGGTTTATGTAAAAGTTTGCAGAAAATTGAAGTCCTAAAAGTTGTCAAAAATGGACATTGAAAACAGGCAATTTAGAGAGTCAAAAATCTGAATTTGTATTTTGTTTTGTCCACTAGTGTAATATCCAAAGTCTGAAAGAAGTGTGCAGAGTCTGAACCCATGTTTGCAAACTCTGAATATAGGTCTATGAAGTCTCAACAAAAGTCAGCATTGTCTGAACACAAGTCTGTCAAAGGGTACGGCACTAATTCTCAAAGTTTGAACATCCCAGATAATTAATCATTTGTAGTTTTCAAATTTTGAGAAGTTTTGCCCCACTTTTGATTAAATTTGAATACTAGAACAATTAATAAAAATCAAACACATCCGAATCAAGATATCGAGTCGTCTATCTGCTGCGGACATTGCAGTCGAGGCCATTAACACAGAAGCTGGGGATGGTCAGCTAGAAATTACCATGGAACCCACAGTCGGAATTCAGTCAGCAGATAATGCATGTTTATACAAAGACTGTGTCAAAAGCACGGCAGTCGATTTAGGATACACTGCAACTTTCATGTGCAGTCCGTTTCCAAAATTACACAACGGAGGTCATTTCAACTTTTCGCTTCAGAAAGATGGCAAAAACGTATTCACTGACAACTCCGATGAATTAGGCTTGTCTCAGTTGGGTAAATTTTGGCTCAATGGGATACTGAAACACGCTCGTGCGATTGCTCCTCTCTTGAACCCAAATAACAACAGTTATCTTAGGTTGTACCCGGAGGTTTCTTCAGATGGAAAAAAGATAAATTATGGAAAAGGGAAGAGACACATTATGATACGAGTGAAGAGAACTAAGAACTATGAGACCTACATGGAGTTCAGGTCTCCAGGAGCATCTGCAAATGCTTATCTTGTTTTATCAGCAGTTCTTGCTGCAGGGATGGATGGAATGCGACAAAAAAATTTGGTAAAAAAAATAATTTATAATTATTTATTTTTTCTAAAACAGTAATTAGCGCAGAAATCTAATGTAAGCAAACGAAACTCTATTTCTCAAACGTATACCTTCCGGTCTTTTGTAAGGCTTGCGATACAAAAATAGCTAACAAGATTTAGTATGTAAGCTATTTTTGATTTTTTGAGACACCAAATTGGGTAGTTAAACTGAGTGAAAACTTGATAAATTACTTACAACTTAATTTAGCTACCTGAAGTTAGTACGGTTGGAACAGATGAGCTGCCACGAACATTGAGAGAGGCAGTTTTGGCGCTGGAACAAGATGACGTAATCAAATCTGCCCTCGGAAATGACTTCGTGGAGCTGTTTCTAGCTATCAAACGACAGAAAGACATGCCCATAACAGACCCAGATGAACAATTTCGAATCTATTCCCAGTTGCTATGAAGTTCTCATCAATAGCAAAATTTTGTATATTTATTCTAAATATTCATTAAACTTCAATTTTCCATTGCACAAAAAATTATTATCGTGAAACTTTGATTAAAAACTCCATATCACAATATTAGCTTGAATATTACGCACATCCAGTTTCGAGATTTTAGTAACAGTCATTCTAAAATTGAGAAACAATATTTTAATCATTTAATAATCCGTGATAATCCTTCTTTCGTGGGAGAAAATTATAATCAATAATAAAACATTTTAAGCGATCATAATTGATTATAATAATTTAGAAAATTATTTTTGCAGTTTTCAAATCAATTCAAATTTATAAGTTTTTAAAAATTAATTTCATTGTTCTAAATTCAAGTTTGGTTGAGATGCAAAATTGTATTTTCTTAGCCTCCAAATAATAAGCACATTGTTTTAGCATGATTTTGATGATTATTTTTGCAAAGTTATTTTTCACCTACCGCGCGACTCTCTTAGCTGATAAGAAGGGATCTCTTGAAGCCGTTTTTTTTTTCGCGGTAAGACTTTGTGTTCATATGAGCCAAAAGGAGAAAAAAAGATCTTTTATGCAGAGATTAAATTTTTGATAGTGGAAAATAATCCAAAAGATTTACTTATGTAATTATTACATCTTTTTGCGGAATAAGAGATTTCAGTCGATTATATCCGTCTATATCGATTTAAAGAGGTTTTCTGTAGAAACCATAATTATATATAATTGATTGTACAAAGTTATAAATTTTGGATGAAATGAGAATTATAATCGAATACATATCTCTTAAAGACTAACATTTGGTATTACCCGCACCGAAGTTCCATAGATACAAATCAATTATATTGGATTTTCGTGGTCTGTCTCAATAAATTTCAATACTAATCGATTATAATCAATTAAAATAGATTATAATAAAACGATTTTTCTAATCAATAAAATCCGAATATAATTGATTATTTTTGAAAGAAAATGAAACTTGTTTTCGAGGCAAAATAATCCATTTTTAATCGATTATAATAGATTATAATGGATTTTTTCGAGGGGTTATTCATGAAATTTACTATTTTGTTCAAAAATATCGCATTTCCTGTTTAGTGCAGTTGGTACGTATTACGTTTCATGTAATGTTACATTTCAGAAAAAAATTTATATTTTTTTTTGTCTCTTCTTTTTTTTTAATTCATCGCAGTTTAACTAACACTTCATTTCACTGTTTTTTTAACCACAACCCCCATAACTTACCGCCCCACCCTCCAGTTTACTAGTTTACTCCCCCTCCAACCATTTACCCTCCCCCAGGTTACCAGTTAACCCCCCCCCCCCCCGTATTATTTTTAAACCCCAATCTCCCCCCGCCACGATTTATTTAACCCCCACCCCGGTTTATTTACCCAATTACCCCCCCTCCCACCCTCCCAGCTTCCCCCCCGTTTACCCTACCCCTTTAGCTGAGAGGGGGGCGGGGAAGCTTGAGGGGACGAGGGGATGACGTTGAGACATGGAATTTAGTAAAATACATGGCATAAATTCAACAATTTTCTCGCAAAAATTGCAATATTTTCCAAAAATAATGGATTTTAATTCTAAAATTTAAACGGATTATAATCAATTATACTGGATTATAATGGAGTTTTATTTCAAAATAACCGATTATGATGGATTATCTTGGCAAAAATAATCGGTTTCAGTGACAAAAATAATGGGTTATATTCGATTATAATGGATTATAATGGATTTTTATTTTTCGAAAAAATCGGTTTTAATGACCACATAATCGATTACGTGGCCTAAATTTGCCACAATAATGGATTATAATGACAAAATTTTAGACAAATTTTTCCATTATAATCGATTATTATCCATGGAATTCCAAGGCGGGTAATAATTGATCATGTTCAGTCAGCCAAAAATCGTAGCGTTACATTGGTCAAAAAATTGAGTTTTAAAAACGAACTTATTAGGCGTCTTAGAAGTCGCCCAATATACATCTTACGACATAAATAGCCGTAACTGGTGATGATTATTTCATTGAAAAGCTTACTTTTTCTCATATTTGTTAAAGTGGAAAATCTGTCAGTAGATTATAACAAAAAATGTCGATCATTTGGATCGTCAAAAATTGGAGTGTAAATGTTTGCTTCGAAAATTACCTTTTGAAAGATACCGTGATCTACATTTAAAAAAAATCATTACGATAGACCAAACTTGTGAATTGTAAGCGGATTCCGCAACAAGGACGCTCCCTTTGTTCTTCTTTTGTCCTTTCCATTCCTTTGATCGTCCCGACTAAATTTTAACATGTTTAAAGGCTTGTCTCTGGAATCCAGGAACATACAGGCACAAATTTATGCGCCCATCCAGTGCACAGTTTGGCCTCGTAATGATCGTTTTAGGAGAATTAATCATAAAAAAGTTTTCGGCAGAAATTCTTCAATTGAAAAAAAAAAACATTTAATTTCGATAAATTATAAATCAAAAAAGCTGAGCTTTGAACAGATCATGGAAATTTGTCATCATGTTTGTCGGTTGCTAGAAAATGTACCAAGAAATGAATGCACCACCTAAAAATCTGAAAGTGACAAAAACATAATTAGTAGACTTTTTAAAAAATGAAGGAACAAGTATCAGTTAAGAAAATTATTGGAGTTTTAAATCATATTTATTCAGTTCACTCCTAAATTTACCTGATTATTTCCAATGTGATATTGTTTTCTCGAGCGGGGGGAGGGGCAACCTTTCAAAAAACTTTGACTTTTTTTCGACTTTCTTTCAAGTCCCAAAAAAAACCTGTTATTGCAATTTTTTCTGCGCCGCAATCAAAAGTTGAAAAAAAACAGACCAAAAGCGGCGTTTGTAGGCAATTTTCGGAAAATTTTGACCAAAAAATTGCGTTTTTGGCGCCCGCTTTCCCCTAAAAAATTAGAAAAAAAATGGCGCCTAAGGCGCTTTTAGAACAATATTAGGGTTGCTTCGCCTGAAATAAATATCACAAAATGATACCAGAGGGGGTTGAAATCCTGAGGGGGAGCGTCCCAATTTTCAACAGTCGTTTTTGCAAAATATCAACTAACATGGCTGGCAAACTAAGATATTTTATTAAGTCGAATGATATGTCCAAATTATCCTTTCAGTGGTCATTCGAGCTGCTATGTTATTTTGCGAAAAATCTGTTGCGGTCTATTTTAATAGATAAGAGCATAGGAAAGAACCATTAATGACCTCGATTCAATGTATGCTGGTTTTGCAAAAACGTTTTTATGATATGCAAGATATCTAACATTTGTGCTTTTTAGGAGCAAGTTTGATGATTTTTAAACGTCTAAAGCAATTATTTTGTTTTATATCATCTGGGGAGAACACGTCTCAAGTTCTGGTTATTAGTCGATTTTTTTAAATGTTAGTTTATTTTTACAATAAAATTAAAAATCATAATAATCATAAAAAATTGAATTAAACCCAAAAGGCTGGGATTATTTGCTCTCAGTCATTGATAACAAAGCAGTAAAGTAAACCTTGAGATCATGACTCCGGATTAAATTGTTTGTAGTAAATCAACCAAAAACAGGTTTAAACTCTTTCAAAATATTACCAGTTCTGGAAAAGGATCATAGCCAGACAAATTGATTGACATTTCTGCGACACATTAAAATAAATTTTCACAAATTTGCTCAGTGTTATGATCGGCATTCTCAAAAACGTTTCGTTCACTGTTCGATTTGATTCAGAGCCCTTGTCGATTGTCCAAAAAACAAGAAAACATATCGGAAACTCGTTAATAGGAATTTTGTTCAGCAAAATTGAATCGTTTTTAAATAACGTCAGTGGAATTAGCAACAGTTTGTTTTTATTCAAGTAAAAAACATAACCCTCATTATCCAATTCAAGTTTTTTGTAACATCATTTTGTGCATCGTCGCTGGATTTTTTTTTGGCTTATATTGGTTGTTAGTCGGAAGCCGAATTGGAGATGCATAAAAACTATTGATAGTACGCAACTTTCAGGAAGCGAAACCCGAACAGAGATACTAAGTGAGTTTGGCGAAGCTCTTCTGATGTTATTAAATTGCACGTTTGCTTTTTAAGCCTTTCGGTGATGTGGTATATCCATGAAATCTGAAATTGCATCAAATAACAAGGTCTTTCACCGTGTCTCAATTCTATTTTCTGGTGCCCAGGTGTTTACGTTTTTTTAAAACTTTTTTAATCGAAAAAAGGTTAAACCAATTTCCAATTATTTTTGTTTTGTCAGCATTTAAAAGGAAGGGTTGTGTCAATAGGTTCTGGTATATCGTTTTTTTTTCTATAAGGAAAACAAAAACACTGCAAAAAGTGATCCTTGTGGACCACCACTCGTTATATTGCGGGAATGTATTACGAAGAAAAACTATTTGTTTTCTGTTTGTGAGATAAGATGCAACAAATTGAAGAAACTCATAATCTGATCCTACTTTGGCAAGCATGTATGAAATGATGTTACTGCTAAGAGATTCGAAAGTTACTGCAATATCAAAAATAGCTTGAGAGTTATTTCTCAATGTTCTAATTTCTTGTGTACAACATCACAGTACAAAATATTGTTTGTCACAGTCGAAGACTTTTTCTAAATCGATGTTGGTTTTACACAACTTTCTTTGAAAGAACCTTTTTAACTTTTTATTTTTTTATATGAAACTCGTTCAAATATTAGCGCGAGTGCAGGAAGTATTGAAATGGGCCTTCTTTTTTCAATGTTCATACGAGAAGTGTTTTTGTGTAAAGGATTAATGTGTACTATTTTCCAGGTATCTGGAAACTGTTTATCAATGGTTATGCAATTAATTAGTTCAATAATATTGTTCAAACGGAACTGTAAAACAAAAATTCATATGTTAGGGGACATTACATCAATTGAACTTGTTACGAGCTTGACAACTCATTTCCATTTACTCATTTCAATAAGAATTTCGCATTGCGAAACGAAAACATATTATAATTATTTTCCTGGAAAAACACTTTCTCTTGGAACATTAAATGGCTCCATTTTGTACACACATGCAAAAAACTAGTTTAAAACTTTACGCTTTGCAAAATCATAGCGTTATTTGGTGTTTTTGTATGAAATTTTCTTGAGTACATTTGCCTTTCCATTTTTTGATCTGAGAAAATTGTAAGTCATTTTAAATCTAAGTCTTTCATTGACTCAAAATAAACGGCTTTGTCTACATCTAAAGAATTATTCAGTTCTCGCTTGTACCTCTTAATTTTCTCGTCAGAATGTTGATGCTTCAATGCCGTCTGAAGACG